ACTTATGTTACACTTATGTAACTGAGTATAATATTAAGTGATTGGATTGTAAATTTTCACTTTTTTTGTGACTTCCAAGTTTTAAAAAACCCTGATGTAGAGAATATATGATGTTTGTTTTGGCTCAGGTGATGAAGTCAAAAGCAGCCCTGGAGGTCCCATGAAACCACATCGAAACAGGAAAGCAAACTCGTGTGACACAGGTACAAACTTCAAATCCATTTTGAGCATGCAAGGAGGGTCCACATTCACCATATACTGCTCTAGCATGCTTTCATCAACTCATCCTTACTTGTGTGATCCTATCCCTCCCTCTGTGTGCCCCCTGTATTCATCCCCTAGGAATGGAGCAGGATGCCCACTGTGATCTGGAGAGATCCTCAGATCGCAAACCCCCTGTGAAAAAACCTAGACTCCCTCTGAAACGAAATAAGTCCTTGGATTTCCCTGGTACTGTGCTGTTTTGTGTGTGTATGTGCTGCTTGGAAGCGTCCAGCAGTTTTATTGGATAGCCTGACTGGAAAGTGCTCCAGTAATTATAGGAAATCTTTCCAGTATTACATGTGTATGTATCGTGAGTGTGCGAGCGTGCACCTGTCCGTGTTTGTGTGTCCACAGACAGATGGCTCTAGGTTGACCTTTAACAAAGCCAGATTAGTAAACGGGTTACGTAAGTAGGCCATCATTCACTTCTTTTTCTCTCTCTCTCTCTATTCCTCTGTTTATCTCTGCAGGTCATCAGAGTTCGGAGCCAAGCAATGCTGAAGCATCATGACAACCATTTGAGCCAAAGCTCTGTGAAAGCAGAGAGTCATTGTGATGCTGAGAGGAGAGAGAGGGAGAGATATGATCAGATGAATTTGCACCTTGATGAATTCATAAAGACTCTTGCTTTCGGCTCTCAGACAATTTCATAGTCATTTTACACACACATATTCAGCATATTCTTGCTTACTCAAGTGAGTTGTTTTGCATCCCCTCCTGCTTTTACTTAACCATCATTCTCAACCTTCTGCACTTAACTACGATTCCTTTATTTCACTCTCTCTCCGTCTCTCTCCCTCTGAGTTTTCTGACAATCTTTGACATAAAGGAACTTTTTGCTATTTATCTTTAAAATCATAGAATGATATTTTGTAAAGTATAATATATAAACAGAACCAATATTTGCACTAATCATTGCTTGAATTCTCGTTCGGTTCAGTGGATGTACCTCTCCCTCTTATGTCCGGCATTACCCACGTGAAGTTTTGTAGTGTGCGACTAACTTATTCTTATCATTTTCTGTCTACTCGATCAATATCATTAGCAGTATTACTGTTGTCTTAATCAGGCATTGTTTATGCAACTGGATAAATGTTTAAGAGTTTGCTGGCCCTAAATGAGCTTTATTTTCTACTAAATGTGATTGAATAAAAACTGAATATTACAGTTACTGTTGTTCTTTTTTACTCAGTGACTAGCCTTTCCTAGACAGATAACAATACCATGACACTTTATTACTATATTAATGAATATTTACCAAATTGCATATTTACATAATACTACAAGATACTTCAAGAATATCATGTTACAAGTATTGTATTAACAGGGTAACATGTCAAAAACACCATGGTAATACCACCAGATTTACATGATACTCCAAGGTACTTCATATAATGTCATGGTATTACCATTGTACTGTATGTGTTAAACACCTCGTGGTAATACCACAGTAGTTTTTTATATTAAAAAAGTCATAAAACGTTTGGGGGACAGTAAGATTTTTTTTATTAATATTTTTTAAATGTCTCTTATGCTTGATTAAAAAAAATACAGTAAATATTTTATTTTTATGTATTTTAAACCATCCAGTGTCACATGATCCTTCGGAAATAACATGGTATTAACATAGTATGTCACGTGGTAATACCATGGTGTGTTTTGGTATATATTTTTGAAACAGGAAACCTGACTAAAATCATCTTTATGGACAGACTGACATTGCCTTGGAGGTGAATTAAAAAATATATATATATCATTAACAGTATATGGATCAATTACTAGCAGTTTAACAATTATACTGCATGGCATTTCAAAGCCGTTTTTCAGTCAAGTGAAGGTTAAACAGAAGTGGAAACCAGATGCCACTTCTCATAACGGGTTTCTTATTGCCTTTTAATGACACAGGAGGGCAGTAGAAGCCCAAAGCCAAGCAAACATCTCCTTGCAATGGAAGAGTAATTTTCAAACAGAGATTAAGGAATTTATTGCCTGCGACTGCTGCTTAAATATCTGTGAGAAACTGTCTCTAAAGAGAATGGTCTATTTATTCCACCATATCACATCATGAGGCTTTTTATTTCGCTAAATTACCTCTTTGAAGGCAAATTTTACGTTAGAAATCACTATCAGTTGCAATTATGAGAAGGTATGAATATTTTCTTCTCTCTGGAATACTTGATTCTTACTGGTCAGTTGTTGCATTCTATGGTCAAATATTTTTAATTAATGAGATCTAAACTGTATATTTGACCATTGTCCCAGCCAACTATTCCTCTACAATGTGCTTGTTAATGTGTTTTTTTTTTACTCTGTGGCCTCACATTATCAAATCATTTCATCTGAGATGATTAATTCATGTGCATTTATTGAACTATTTGGTAAATGGCTGTATATTGAACTGGATCATGTACAACCAATCAGTCATTATCTCAATATTTAGTATAGATATTTCAATTACTTATTTGACTGTCTTAAAAGAAAATTGCATTAGCAACACAGTAAAACTTTAATTTCACCCAAAGCAAACTTGTATTGCTCAGTGGAGCTCCTTCATGCTCAGTGGACTCAATAGAGCTCTTGCTTATATTTTGGGTATCAACTTTGTCTCAGAGGTTTCTCCTAAAATTCTATAGGAAAACAAGCATGAGACGATACCTGATATACAGTAAGAGAACAGAGCTATAACATGTAACATATATACAGTGGGTACGGAAAGTATTCAGACCCCCTTAAATTTTTCACTCTTTGTTATATTGCAGCCATTTGCTAAAATCATTTAAGTTAATTTTTTTCCCTCATTAATGTACACACAGCACAATCAAGTCCAATCAGTATAATCAAACACAGTTGGACTCAAATGAAGGTGTAGAACCGTCTCAAGGATGATCAGAAGAAATGGGCAGCACCTGATTTAAATATATGAGTGTCACAGCAAAGGGGGTGAATACTTAGGACCATGTGATATTTCTGTTTTTCTTTTTTAATAAATCTGCAAAGATGTCAACAATTCTGTGTTTGTCTGTCAATATGGGGTGCTGTGTGTACATTAATGAGGAAAAAAAATTAACTTAAATGATTTTAGCAAATGGCTGCAATATAACAAAGAGTGAAAAATGTAAGGGGGTCTGAATACTTTCCGTACCCACTGTATATATATATATATGTCTGAAGAATTTGTTGAGAAATGTTTGAGTTAATATTTAATATATATTATATAATATATATTAATTATATATTTAATATATCAGACTTTTGAATGCAGACTATGAAAATTAAAGGAAATCCAAGCACAGTTTGAGGTATCGTTGAGATCTCTGAAACTCTACAGGCAACAAATGAGATTTCAAGGATCTTTTTCTTATGAAAGCATCTAAGGAGCAGAAGTCTCAATTTGCCGTCTAGGAGAGATAATTGAGATCTCATTTATGATTTTATTTCTAATAGGCAGGCATTGGAGCTTGAACGTCTTTTTTATATGAAAAGTCTCAGATTGCCCATTGTATTGATGCATTGTTTTATGGATTGGTTCTAAGTACTGAGAAAATACTACATTTATAATAAAATACCAGATCAGTAAAGACTGATGCTCTATTATCTGGGTGCTGCATGAAAATGGCAGTGTAATACAGTTCAAACTAAACAGACCAGGTTTGTCAAGAAAAACTTCCAATCATACTTCCAACATCTGTGGATGACATGCTCCAAACTCGTCACACCATCACACACACACACACACACACTCATATTCACCTATTCAGATTGCTATGGGGGAACATCACAGATCAAAGGAGCAATCTGTCTTATGTTTAAAATGTAAGCGCGACAATAATAAGTCATTACATTCATATGTCTTACATGCATTAGCAAAGCACACAGGTTCACACAATCATGCCAAGTCACAGGGGGTTGTAAGAATATACATAAATCATTTCATTAATGGCCTCTCTAACGCACACCAACGCACCTACACACACTCACACCAGCAGTGGGGGAGGCTGTAAATGAAGTGACGTTAAAGGCAGCTGCATAAATGATGTGACTCAATTAGGGAACAAAGGGCTGTGTGTGGACCAAATATACAAATTTATTATCTGTTAATTACATTCATTAATGCATTACACAACACGCTGTCGTGGTAAGCAAGAACGTGATGCGCCATAATTTTTATTTCTGCAAATATTCGAATACGCATATTTTTACTACTAAAAAAAGAAGAAAGAAAGAAAACCCAGCTAGTTCGATTATAACTGCACATGTAAACATACTAGTATCAGATTTCATGGTATTTTAAGATTACGATAGTAAAATATATCATATATATCACACATTAACTATAGTAAACATGTTAAATATAGCTGTCACTCCAGAGCATTTAGCATGCCAAACGTGATAATACCATGGTACTGTTGTGTAAGTGCACAATACACACACAAAAATCAACTACCCTAGTTGAAAATCACAAATTCTTTCTCATAACTTTCACACATTCTGACACACACTCAAGTGGTTCAAATTGAACCGTGAAAAAAGTGAGTAACTCAAGCAGATGGCTGCAATCATGCGAAACCAGTACAGACCGGAAGATCAGCTTTTAAAAGTTGATTTAAGTTTATGAGACAAGAAAGAGGTAAACAATTCATGTATCTTGTGCCTCAAACTTTCCCAACTAATCATGAAACTTTACCGACTTATTACACATTTTCTCAGTTTCAAGTCATAATTATGAGTCTGTCAGAGTGTGTAGGAGAGAGTGTTCATATTCTTCATTTTTTGTGTTTGTGTGTGTGGTGTTTTGGTGTTAGTAGGAGGCCAAGGAGCATCATGAAGTATTTATATATGTAAATTAGCTCCCTGTTTCACTCTCTCAGCCCTTTCAACGCTGCCTCATAATTGGTTTCTTTCCGTTGAAAGTCTCCTTAACAGCACATGAATGTTGTTATATCCTCATGAGGCAGATTAGAATTTCAGGGGTGTGTGTGTGTGTGAGGATGAATAAAGTGAGTCAGATGTGGGTACAGGTGTGTCCCCCTTTTTCTGTTCTCTTGTGTGTGCGTGTGTGGAGGGTTGGACTGTGTGTGTCAAGGGGGTGGCTGCATTAGGGGATGCTGTGCCTCAGAGCAGATGAGCAGAAGTGTGCCCACAGACTCCCTGACTGATGCCTGATCAAGTAACTTTTTCTTTCTCTCCAGTGTTCAGTGCTGTGTGTTTCCTCTCTCTTCTCTTCTGCCTTTGTCAGCCCTTTTCATATCTGCTTCCATACTGTAGCTTGTGTATTGACTTTTTGACAAGGACAATTAAATTTAGATCTATCTATCTGTCGGCTTCCTGATTCAAATCAATGAATAACTCTACGAAAGGAATAATATTTTGATATAAAACATGTTATTCAGGAAATGGTTTACAGACAGCCTTCGGCTAATCCTGCTGCGCCGTAGATCTGGAAGACTCTATATATCAGACGAAATCTTAACGGGGAAAAAGACACTGCGGCCACAAAAACGTGCAAGAACTGTTGGTTGCCAAACAAACTCATGTGTGGAGATATGACCTTCCACACCACGAGCGGGACGTCCCGTGTGCTCCCGTGGCCTCCAGTGGGAATGTTAGGAAAACTGGCTTTCAGCAGCTCTGACTGATGCCCAAAGGCACAGAATAACTTGTGCTTAAATGTGAAGTGCCTATTTTTTTAGTGTTACAAATGCGTTCCTTTCTCAGCTTAATGTGGAGAAACAACTTTATTCGTATTTAACCCTCTATGGACCACAGTAGAAAGCTATCTATCTATCCACCCATCCATCCGATATCTATCTATCTATCTATCTATCTATCCAATTAAATTTAGATCTATCTATCTATCTATCTATCTATCTATCTATCTATCTATCTGTCTGCCTAATCTGCCGGTCTGTCTGTGTACATATGTGTAGCCTATCTGTCTATCATACCAAATGCTACATCAAATTTAAATAGTATTACTAACAGAATTTCACTTATATGTCTAAAGAATTGTAGCAGATTTACAGGGTTGGAATCAGATATGTATTTATTATAAGATTAATATTCCACTGCCAGGATATGAAATACAGTTTTTATTATTTTAGCTGATTTTTATCATTGCTGACAA